AGCCTACGCCGTCGCCGGCGACTCATGGCAGCCCAGCTCCAGGTTGAGCTGTTGTTCAGCATCTTAGCTGTGGAGGGCAATGTCACTGGCCCTCATATGTGGGATCCGAACCGGGGCCCTCTGGTGTCCCAGGCCAGTTCTTAACTATCACGCCACTCGGCCGGCCCTTTAATTAGGTTTTAATTGGGGAATTGGGGGAGGGCAAAGCGATGGGGAATCAGGGAAGGGGAACAGACAAGTTGCTGTCCTTTTTGTTCTTCAGTCTAGTTGTGGAGGGCGTTGCTTCACTGGCCCATGTTGGTATTATCATTGCACTCTTCCCGGCTGAGGCAGTCGCTAGCCGGCCATTGGACGGCCACTCATGGCAGCTCATGAAAGCTCATGCCAGCTGCCGGCCAGCCCCACTGCAGCCTATGCCATCGCAGGTAACTCATGGCAGTCCAGCTCCAAGTAGAGCTGTTGTTCACCATCTTAGCTGTAGAGGGCACAGCATCACTAGCCCTCATGTGGGATCTGAACTGGGGTCCTGCTGCTCAGACCTGGTGTCCCAAGCCAACTTTTCACCAACACGCCACTCTGCCGGCCCGAGATATGTTCCCTTTATTCCCACTTTGCTTACAGTTTGTATCGTAAATGGATGCTGGGTTTTGTCGAGTGCCTTTTCTTTATCTATTGCTATGATCATATGATTTTTATCTTTCATTATTTTTGTGGTATATCACTTTAATTGATTTGTGGATAGGGAACCAAACTTACATGCCAGGAATAAATCCCACTTGATCATGGTGTATTATCTTTTTAATATATTGCTGAATTCATTTTGCTAATATTTTATTGAGAATTTTTGTGTCTATGTTCATCAGGGATATTGGCCTATAATGTTCTTTTTCTGTGATATGTTTGTCTGGTTTTGGAATCAGGGTAATGGTGACCATGCAGAATGAGCTTGGGAGCCTTCCCTCCTCTTGAACTTTTTTGCAATAGTTTGAGGAGAATAGATGTTATTTTTTTGAATATTTGGTAAAATTAACCTGTGAAGCCAAATGGTCCACTACTTTTGTTTGTTGGTAGTTTTTTGGTTACTGATTTTATTTCATTAGTAGTAATCACTCAGTTCAGATTTTCTGTTTATTCTTAATTCAATTTTGGAAGATTGTTTCTAGAAATTTATCCATTTTTCCCAGTTGTCCAAGTTTTTGGTGTATAATTGTTTGTAATATTTTCTTATATTTTTTGTATATCTGTGATGTCCATTGTCACTTCTCTTTCATTTCTGATTTTATTTATATGGGTCCTCTCATTTTTTCTCATTAGTGCTTTTTAAAGAGCTCATCTTATAAAAAAATATATGTGACAGCATTATGTAGAGTATAGTAGAAAAATATAAGGGACAGGGAGACAAATTAAGTAGTAAGGACCTGAACTAGAGTAGAAACAATCGATTTTTTTTAAAAATGTGATTGTCATGACAAATAATGCAATTGAAGAAAATAGTAATAATAATAGCTATAATAACTAATGTCTACTGGGCACTTATTATGTACCAGACACAATGCTAAATGAATTACATACAGCAGCTCAATTAATTCTCACACTGACTCTATAGATTAGATACTATGATTATTCTCATTTTACCAATGAGCAAATTAAGGATCAGAGAGGTTTAGTGATATACCGAAGGTCACACAGCTATTAATTGAAAGAGCAAGAATTTAAACCCAAGTCATTCTGACACCCAAACATACATTATTTCTCCTATGGTATGCTATCGCCCCCATTAGAATTTGTTTGGAAGTAGAGAATAAGTTTCAAAGAGTCAATGTCTCCAAGAGTTTGAGATGGTCTGAGAAAACAGTGGTTAACTTAACAGCAACATGGAAGTCTAGATTAGAATAGGATTTGAAGTTTGAGAGATGAAAATTTTTTTGAGATAAATTGATTTTTATAGTCAAATCATTTTTATTTACTGAAATTATTTCATTCACCAAATACTGAGCACTTACTTTTTGTCTTGGACATTCCTTGGTTCTGGTATACAGCAAGTGAAAAACACACACAAGAATACGTGTCCTCATAAACTTTACATCCTACTAGGGAAAATATATAAAAACCAAATAAATAACTAAAAAACATAGAGTATGTTAGTTATGATAGATAATAGATAAAATAATTGCTAAAGGGAGATGGAGAGTGTTGGGAGGAGGTCTGCAGCTTTAAATAGGACGATGAGGGAAAGCCTCAAGAAAAGGTGACATTTGGTAAAGGTCAGAAGATCAGAAGGAAAATAACTTGGCTGAAGCATTTTAGGCACAGGGAACTGCCAATTCAAAGGCTTTGAGGCAGGAGTGTGCCTGGTCTTTTCACCTAACAGTAAAAATGACCAAGTGCTGGAGCAGAATTCAAGGGAGGTGGAGGAAATCTCTGGAAGTGAGGTCAGAGGAGTAACTGGGAGCCAGATCATGTAGGATGATGTAGGCCTTTGTGAGGACTTTGATTTTTCCTCTAAGATAAAAAGTCATTAGGAGGTTTTTTATCAGAGAGATGATATGATTTGACAAGATATGACATATTTTAAGTAAATACAAAAGATGACTTCACTTTAATACTTATGGCAAATTTGAGGTGATGATGAAACATCCAAGAGAACTGGTCTTAAATATAGTTGGAAAGAGAGCTACAACTCAGATGAGATATAGATTTAAGAGTCACTGGCCATGATAGGAGAGGTGAATGAATGTTCAGTAGAGGTTGACAGGTTGTATATTTGTAAAATTCTAATGTGTAGTCAGTTACTTTAGTAGGCAATGCCTTTTATATAAATAGCTGAAAGAAAGTTCAAAATCCAGGGCTTTTGACTTTTTGGTTCAACACCTAATTTCTCCTGTCACCTAATCAAAATCATTACCTGTGAAAATATTTCAAAGATGTATTTCAGTTTGGGAGCTGCAAATCCTCTGACTTTAACCTCACTTTCAATATTGATGTTGTTCTTTACAGTTGTGCTTCCCTGTATTTTATAACCCCATCTCTCTACTTATCTGAGGAATCTCAAGTTTTTAACTTCTACAATCTGAATTCATAGTTCATATCATTCATCAGGTCTTTTAATTAAAGTGAGAACCATAGCTTTGAACGAAAAGTGCTATTTTACTTTCCAGGCAATTGAGTAAAAATAATAACAATAATAATTCCTTCAGGGGCTGAGTCAAGCACACTTCCAACCACATGGATTTGATAATCCAAAGCAGGATGTTTCCTAATTCCTATTTCATTTTTATTCTTCCCACATATCTTTAAAGTCAGTTAAGTCCTTCTGGATTTCAGCAGCCTTGAGGCAAATATCCAGGTCCCTAAGCTAAAATTTGTTTACCTCAGAACAAAGGTCATGGACCCAGCTGAATCAACTTTTGGGGAATTTCGATTCTCTGTACTAGTGCTATTGTCTGTTATCTTGGATAATTGAGAGGTGACTAAATGACCCATGTAAATGGAAGTATTTAAAGAGAGGCTGGTTGCCCATTTCTTCTTAGACATCTGGGAAGGATTTGGACCAAATTGGTGGCCCCTAAATTATGGCTCAAGGACAAATGCTGGGTTGGCTATATCTGAATCACATGGGGAGCTTTTCAAAAATACAAATTATGGGCTTTATGTACTAAATCAGAATTTCTGGAGGATACACTAAGAAAGCTGTGAAAAGCTATATTTTCTAGAACTCCCCCAGAAGAGTCTGACAATCAGTGAAGTTTCTGAAGCAATGGTCTAAATCAGAGCCCTTCAAATGTTGTTATGCATAAGAATCATCTGTGGTTATTGTTACACTGAACTGAATCAGTAGGTCTCAGGTGAGGCAGGAGATTCTTCTGTATTTTTAAATCTCTCAAGTAATGCTGGTTCAGAATCACATTTTTAGTAGCAAGGGGCTCGATTACCTCTCATACTCCTTCTAGAAATACTTTCCTGTGATTCTAAAGTGCCTTATCAAAAGTGTGGCTTATCACCCTCATTTACATCAGAATGTTTCATTCAAACTAATAGATTTATCTACACATAGGCCTTTCTGTTTTTTGCAAAAAATGCCAGACATTAATTTTTTTTCTTCACTTGCATCTCTGCCTTTGTTTCCCAGTTTTTAGCTTTCAACATATAACTGAAAAAGTCCCAGAAAAGTTGATCTATCCACATTGATCATCTCTGAAGAGTTGCAGACCCACTGAGTACTAAAGCAAACATTTCTTCTGCGTGAGCCAAAAAGAAAAGAAGAAAAACAGCCTGCCAAACACCTGTAAAGTGATGACTATCATCATATGGGAATTTGAAGAACTACTATATGGCACATTCATGATCCAAATGGGAGAGGATCAACTGTTGTGATATCTCAGAAAGGCTTATAACAGTGTAAACAAGAGGAGAAAAATATATTGACTTGTCATCTGTGCTTGTACACTAGATTTCCATGTAGTTACTGTAGACAAATTCAAAGCAAACATACAGATAGTTCTTTAAAAATCATGTGTAGAAGCTCAGACTGATGCAGTAAAAAGGAGGTTATTTTATTCTCATTCTCTCTAACCCATGGATGATCTGTCTCTGAGAAAGAGCAGTTGATTGTGAATTGAGGTTTTGAAACTCCATTTGGCAAAGACTGTTTCTTTAGAAAGTAACATGCCTGCAAATGACACATGTGCTGGAACAGATACAGATTTTCGATACTTCATCTATGCAGTGACATACACTGTCATTCTTGTGCCAGGTTTCATAGGGAACATATTAGCCTTGTGGGTATTTTATGGCTATATGAAAGAAACAAAACGAGCTGTGATATTCATGATAAACTTAGCCATTGCTGACTTACTACAAGTTCTCTCCCTACCACTGAGGATCTTTTACTACTTGAATCATGACTGGCCATTTGGGACTGGCCTATGCATGTTCTGTTTCTATCTTAAGTATGTAAATATGTATGCAAGTATATACTTCTTGGTCTGCATTAGTGTACGACGATTTTGGTTTCTCATGTATCCTTTTCGCTTCCATGACTGCAAACAGAAATATGACCTATACATCAGCGTTGCTGGCTGGCTGGTCATCTGCCTTGCCTGTTTGCTCTTTCCTCTCCTGAGAACAAGTGAAGACACCCCAGGCAACAGAACTAAATGCTTTGTGGATCTTCCTACCAGGAATGTCAAACTGGCCCAGTCTATTGCCATGATGACCATTGGCGAATTGATTGGGTTTGTCACTCCTCTTCTGATTGTTCTGTATTGTACCTGGAAGGCTGTTTTATCACTGCGAGATAAATACCCTGTGGCCCAGGACCTTGGAGAGAAAAAGAAGGCTTTGAAGATGATTTTAACCTGTGCAGGAGTATTCCTAATTTGCTTTGCACCTTACCACTTTAGTTTTCCTTTAGATTTCCTGGTCAAGTCCAACGAAATTAAAAGCTGCGTAGCCAGAAGGGTGATTCTGATATTTCACTCTGTTGCCCTGTGTCTTGCTAGTCTTAATTCTTGCCTTGACCCAGTTATATACTACTTCACCACTAATGAGTTCAGAAGACGGCTTTCAAGGCAAGATTTGAATGATAGCATCCAACTCCATGCGAAATCCTTTGTGAGCAACCATATTGTTTCTACCTTGACAACTGAATTATGCTAAATAAAATAAAATGAAAAAAATAAAACCTGAATGTGACCTGAAATGCAAATATATTAGAACACATTTGCAATACCCCAAGCTACTGGGAAGTCACAGGAAGCACTCATATGACTTCAGTCATGCTCTATCTTACCTAACATCTTCATTACAGAACTTATTTATGGAGTTATACTCCACCATCACTGATGTTGACATGTTCATGAGTAATTTGTCACCAAGTCTTTGAGACTTGAACTATAAAACTTCAGTGACGTCCTATACACATATTCTCTCAACTAGAGTCAGCTGTTTTATCTGTGAACTTAAGAAACAAAGGGACGTTTAGCTTGGTGTCATCATAAGCACTTAGTTTTGTCACAGTGGACACTGAGTATTTAGAGGCAAAGTAGTTGACTATTTATACTGGTAATCACAGTTTGTATTCCAATATCATATTTTTGGTTGTATTTTAAGTAGGATGACCAATATATCATTCTGTGAAAATAAAGTGTTTTAAACATGGGGCCACTTTTATCTCCAATGTATGATTACACTCTGGATTTGAAGACTCAAATAGCTATTGCCTCCCTTTCAGTGTCAATATGAAACACCATCTGTTATGCCTATTCATATAATGGAAAACTGAACTTAGGCCTTTGGTATGTTAAAAGCAAGAACAAGAAACAGATTCACATGCAATTCCTTTCTACAACTGTATAAGCTGCCATATTGAATCTACCCAGGGCAAATAGCTTGTCAAAGTTCATACAGTGTGACATAAATTGCCTTTATAGGTCCAGGAGATAGCACATAGGTGACAATCACAGTTTTGGTTCTCTTAAACTATTTTCAAAGAATACATTTGGAGATACATGGATCTACCTAGTAAAAGGAGTTTCCATTATGCTTCCAGAGTGACTTTCAGGTACTCTGACAGGTTACTGCATTTTCTGAGTCTAGGGAAGAAATACTGCACTAACTACTCACTAAGCTTAGGCCAGAGCAAAAGATGAAGTAGAGTTGGGTACACCTCTTAAAAGCCTCACCACACTGTATTTCTTACTTTAAGTTAGGTGGCAACTGTCAAGCTACATTCACAAGTCAGGGTAAGGTTTGGAGGCAGCCAGGCATGTGGATCCTAGTCTTCAGTAATTTGTCTGATCCATCTTTTTCCCAGTCATACCATTCTGAGGTCTACAAAGCCTACCTCCCAGCAGCTGGAGAAGACAATTCTTTCACCTTTTAAAAAAGTGCAGGAGATTAATTTTGGCAGCATTTAACATCCCTTACAATTCCTTTTCTGCTACCTCTTTGGTACTAGTATTCAGGAAATAGACTGATGATATGAATATTAATTAAATATGAGGTCTTACATATTTACAGTACTTCGAAACATGTTTTAGCAAAAATCTCTAACTTAAAAAAATGCTCTGCTTAAAATGTGTGTGCTATATACAATGAAGAAACATGCTACTTCTCATCTGGAAGGATTGTGGAAATCAACCAAGGATTCCATCATAGACGAAAGGAGTTGTTTCAGGCACACAGTTATGATACTAATATGTTTGGCGGAAAAACTGGTGAAATCCAAATGGATTCTAATATATAAGATGAATGGAAAAATTTTTAATGTTTTCTCTGAACAAGTGTTGATTTTGCTTGTACTTTGTTATTAAAATAATATCCTATTAGAAGACTGATTTTGTGCTGCTAGCAATAGTGTATCTATTTATCTCCTAATTATTCACTGTAAGGTACATATTTTGCTGTGTTAAATTGTGTTTTTAAAAAGGGTAACTGTAACTATGTCTGGTCTCTTTGATTTAAAGTGACTTGTGTTTGGGCCGGCCGAGTGGCGCGATGGTTAAGAATTGGCTTGGGACGCCAGAGGGCCCCGGTTCAGATCCCACATATGAGGGCCAGTGACACTGCCCTCTACAGCTAAGATGCTGAACAACAG